TCACCCCCCACAAGTAGTACAGTGTCACTATGGTGACACTGTACTGCTAGGGTGACAGTATGTTAAAAAAACAAAACATAAATAATAATATATAAAAAATGTAAAAAAAAGTTTTTAAAAATTATAATTTTTGGTTATAAACTAATTTGGGTTATTTTTTTTTTACTAAAAAGATAACTCAATACATTTTGGCCAAGATTTATGAAGATTATTTATTTGCAAAATTTTATAAGAAAAACACTTTTCTTTTAAATGTTTGGACATTTTCATTTATATAGCAAAAAAATAAAAATCCCAGTGGTGAATAAATACCACCAAAATAGAGTTTTATCTGTCTCAAAAAAATGCTAAAATATTCACATGGTCACAGTGTTGCATGACCACACAATTGTCATTCAAAGTGTGATAGCGCTGAAAGCTGAAAATTGGCCTGGACAGGAAGGGGGTGAAAGTGTCCGGACTTGAAGTGGTTAAGGGCTGCTAGGAGCTGTTAGCCATAATGTGTTATGCTGTCAACGCTCTCACTGGTCACAGGAGCTTCCAACTTCTCCCAGTCTTGCTTCCCAGTTCTGTCTGTTCAGCTGCTTGAATGGCTGGGGTGCGATTATGTCACTTCCGCACATGTAGACAGGAGTTACTATATCATGGCATACAGTGATGCCATAAATGTATGCTGAGCTGCACATGTGAGGCTCAGTGTGCATTACTGCTGACAGGCAGGCAGAATTGTTTATGACAGAAGAGGGTAAAAACCATACCTGACAGTAATTTTCAAAGGTTCAGTACCGCTTCAAGTAAAAAAAAAAAAAAGAAAAAGAAAAAACTTTAAAACATTTTTAGGATACATCTTTTTTCGTTCAGCTCCTCTTTCCCTGTTGTTAATTTTTGCTGTCAAAATAAAAATGTATTCCTATTTAACACCTTATTATCCCTTACCCCTAATCAGCCTTAATGATCCATTCTCCCCTTAGCTATTATTTTTCTGCTGTTTTTTTATTTTGTTTTGTCATACCAATAATAAGTAGTTTTACTATAAATAATAAGTATACATTTTTTGTATAATTTGTGCCATTTAAAATTACACTCAAATTATGTTCTCTCTCAGTACAAAGCATAGCAAATATATCTGCAAATTAAAAAAGGCTTTTCTTCAGATTTTTTATTTTTTTTGCAATTTTTTACATTTTCTTGCTATGCAACACTAAAAAAGTACCAAAAAAATGAAAGGAAACAAAAGACAGTTTAAAAAAAACCAATTTTTTTCATCTTTTTATCTATAGATTTTATATAAAAAATAAAATTGGCAAAAGCCCAATTTGTCCTAATAAAAAAAATGTATGTATTACTTTGAGTAACACCCCATTAATAATTGCCCTATATCGGTGGTCTCCAAACTTTTCAAACAAAGCAAAACAGTTTACTGTTCTTCAGACTTTAGGGGGGGGGGGGCTAGATTGGGGCCAGTGGGGGTAGAAAATGTCCTGGGCCCAGCAGTTCAGTAATAGAACAATGGAGGATTATAACCCTGTCAGTTATTTTTTACCATTACTATTGGAGAAATTTCCCTTCACTTCCTGTCCCTTAGCCAAAGCAGATGGAAATGAGAGGAAATCCTTCCAAAATGAGGGCATTTCTGGTTGTCACCAGAACTAGTGACCCCATTTGAAGATTTCTTCTTTATCCCTGTTCTGGTGACAACCCAAAATTTTTAATTTTCGCTTTTACTCTCGGTGGTAACAGTAAACATAACAAATAGAGAGGGTGAATTGCCCTAACAAGGGCACAGACTGCAATAAAAACATAACACGGGTTCTAATCCCACTCCACTCTATCCAAAACTAAACTAAAAAAAAAACCTTTGAATTTATTTATACTATAATGTTAAAATCAGTTGTTCACACTGCATATTTATAACTGAATGTTGTTAGATATGGATTTCTTTTTAAAGCTAAACTCCAGGTACAAAAATGATCATTTAAATGCCTTTGCAGACCCAGTTATTACCTTGTAAACATAGCAGTGTCGTGATCATTGTGGTGCACTTAACCCGTGCAGAGAGTAGAGATGTAGGAGGGGCCCAGCAGGTCCACTCACTATAGGAAGGGGCGGATACAAGACCAGTTCCCCCTCCACAAGGGGAGAGCAGCAGCGATTAGTCTTTATATCAGGAAGCTCCAGCACAAAGACATTTTTTTTTTCTGCACAGATCTGGAAGACATACACAACACACACCAAGACTAAAGTAAAATACATATCTCTTGTATTTGGATAATATTTGCTTTTTCCATTCCAGAGTTGAATTTGATGTTCACTAAGAGGACCAGCACTTTGTTCAATGTGATGACACAGATATACAGTAAGTTGTTCACTTATAAATTATTATTATTTTATAACTTCCGTTAGTTATTCGTACTACATTCAATGAGCATGTTCCCAAAAAGGAGGCAATGATACAGATATACTGATTAACTGTAGTGAGGCTGGGATTGTTATGTTCCAGGAAAGACCAGATGTCCATTGTCCTCAGGCTCTCATGTCAATGATGACAGTGACACAGTTGTCATTCCCCTCATCAAGCTCAGTAGAGTCACTTTAATAATAATGGCAAAACAGCAGGAGGTTCACACTGGTCCCTTTAACCATCTGCTGCTCATTTGTGTGTTACACAGATCAGTGATTATGGAATTCCAAACTCTTATTCATATATCGTTTCTCAAGATATTTCTTCATCAGTGCTACATATTATATCACGCATACAAATACTAAGTCATCAGCGGCTCTGGCACACTGCTGTCTCAGGGAAGGTGTTGAGATAAAGCTGCCCATTGGGAAAAGACATTGATGAGCAGCAGATGGAGCAAAGCCCACTTACCAATATGCATTTCAGTCTCCAGATGCTTCAGAAGGGTAAGCTGTTGCCTTTTTATTTTGCTGCACATACTGGTATGGATTTACGGTAATAGATATCCTGACTGAATATTAATGGTAGAGTATAGTATGCTAAAGGCAGTTAGGTGCTTTCAGTCACTAAAACAAGTGGATACACTTTGTAATGGATCTACTGCACTACTGAAGAGTTCTAGCTCATGGCTAGAAAACATTAGGAGCCAAAACAAAGAAGACTTAAGCCTTTGATATTTATGTGTAAGAAAGCAGCTGCATGTGCTGGAAAAAAAAAAAAAAAATCACACACTCTATCTCACATCAGTGAGGGCAGGGGGCTCTCGACCAGCCGGTCAAGCCAATAACACAGATTGCCCACTCCTCACGATTCAGCCCTGGTCAGAGCATGAGGATCCATATTGCGAGGAGGTGCGAGGGAGGGAGCGCTTGCAGCTTCCAACTTTCTCCCATATGTGACCCAGTAGGTTGGGAGGAGATTGGGAACTAGAGATTGTCCCGAGCTGCAGGTGACAAAAGGTCGACTTGCCCTCCTCCAGGTTGTAGACGGTGTGGCTCCAGCCCTAGTGGGTGAAGGTGAGCTTGAATGGAAAACCCATTGATATTGAACGTGGTGGTTCAGGAGGGCAGATGTGTAGGGCTTCATCTGACACCGCTTCTGGATGGTGGAGGGAGCCAGGTCTGTGAAGAGTTGGTATGGGTGATCCTGGAAGCAGAGATCTCGTTGGTCTCAAGCTGCCCACAGAAGCGTCTTTGTGTGGTAGAAGGTGATCTTTATAATGATCAGCCCTAGGGCTCGGATAAGGTCAAACTCTCCTGAAAGAGAGTGGTGGCAGTGGAGGTGAGGTTCTCAATGGATTCAAGCAGGCCCCTCAGTGTGGTTACCTCAGCAGGTTACCTTGGCAGGGCCTATTCTCAAAATTCAAAAAAAAAAAAAAAGCAGCTTTGAGTTCTTTTTTCAGGTCAGAGAGGTCCTGCTCATGATTTTCAATCATAGTAGCCGTGGCGTCCATCTTGTCCTCCAGGACATTGGTGCGGGTACCAAGCTCCCCAATTTCCTTAGTCAGGTGGGCTTCCAGTTTGGATGTGGCCACAGAAAGCTCAGATTGCAGCATTGTTTTAAATTTGGCCAACAGGTCCGTGTCCCTTAGAGCTGGCTGTGAGTGTTCAGGCGTTGCTTCTAGCATGCTCTCCATATCTGAGGCACCCAGATCGCTGAAGGGGAGTGGTGGGGAAGCCTCCATACTAGAGGCCGAGGCTTCCGGTTCCTCTGTTGGCGGGAAGGCCTCAGCACTGGAGGGGTTCGCCGAGCAAGTGCTGGAGACACAGGTGTTAACAGTCCGTCGCCCCATGTGCAGCAGCAGTTAGTGAGGGGGGGGAGAGATCCCGGGTAAGGGGCTCTCTTTATTAGTGATGTGCTTGATGGTGGAGTAGCAGGTTTAGCAAGCACCTATCTTTGTTTGCTGCTCGCGAGCACCCCAACAATTTAACCTTTTCAATACATGGGATGTAATTATAAGACACAAGGGTATTGTAAGAATTTTATTAGAATGTATTTAACTTTTTTTTTTCAAGAACTACAACTATTTTCTTTTTTGCTGTAAAAACAATAAATATCTAGCAGACACATTTCTTCATTAAGTGGTATAATATATACAGTACATTTTGTAATACTCTACAAAATATATTAAAAGAACCAGAGGCAATTAAGGGTGACTCTATATGACCTGATCTATGCAAGCAATGTGTTTGGTTCGGTTACTGCTTGTGACAATCAGGTGAGGGATAGGTTGTACCTGGCTACCCTCAAGAGGCAAAAAAAAAAATTCTCAGACTGCCCAAAACAGAAATTAATGGGGAAAAAAACTGTCCAACTTGCTGGAAAATCTGTGTGCAAGTGTGTAGTCTCTGTAGTAAAAAAACATTTTTTCTGCACTTAGGATTCATTCATTCATCAGCAGAGTCGGAGAGATGATGCTTTTGAGGACTGCCCATCATTCTCTTTGAGATGTCTGCCCAGCTAAGGCTAGCCTAATACTTCTCTGTTTATTTATTGGCAGGTGAAGTGGTTCTCAGCTTCAGAAAGAGCAGAATAAAGCCTATGGATCTGTGTCTCTGGCTTCAGAGAGAACTTTAACTGCCCACTCATGCAGGTCTGCAGGGATCCTGTCGAGGAGGAGAAAACAAATATGACATTGTGATAAGAACTGTGAAAAAATGGAAGGTTAGCATTCATTTACACAGCACGGTTGTCACAATAAGATTATCAATCTTTGAAAAGTGCATAAAATTGTACTGCCCAGCGGCGGACTGACCATTTGGGAACTCGGGCACTGCCCGAGGGCCCGGGGTCAGTAGGGGGCCCCATGAGATGCCCCTGGTACCTTTTTCATAGGCTTTTTTGAGTTTGGGCAAGGACACAGGGGCCCCATGATCCCCTATTGCCCGGGGGCCCCATGAGTTGTCAGTCCGCCCCTGGTACTGCCACTTCAAATATTCACTGGAAGTGCATGAAACTGCAGGGTAAAAGAACCACAATCGATATCTAACCCAAATTATATACATTCAACAAAATGCAGTACTGCTAAATTCTGGAGACTGTCTGCTTCCATCGATGTCCAAAACTGACTAAACACAAATCTCAGCTGTACAAAATGATGACCGAACTTCCCTTCTATCATAGGCATAAAAAGGACAAGTTGTGAATTACCCACATGAAAAAAATATGAACAGTTCTGTCAAAGTTCATAGCATAACACTTACCGCACTGCGTTCACACGAGTACAGAGGCCAGCTGATGGATTCTTGTACTTATACTGGAAAGACCTGACGTCATAGCGTGTCTAAGAAAAGAAAATATATTTATATTGTCTGTAAGACATATTTTCAGGTCAATATTGTAGTGCTGTTTAAAATTTAGGCAGGTATTTGTTAAAAACTTGGACCAAAGCAATTCTTGTTCTTGAATGTGCCAGTTTGCAGACATGCGCTACAGTCCATTTACCATGATTTCCTATGGATCTAGTTCATATCTGTGCGATTTGAGCCGGTGCATTTTTTGGAAAGGGTCAGGCACTCTTTTTCCCACAGCAGGTTGCATTTTGCGTGTGATAGACTTCAATGGACCTGCACCAAAAATGCAAGTGTTGTGTTTTTTTTTATGCATTTTACAGGTTTTTTGCCAACAGGAAACTATTGACTCTGATGCGACTTTGGATGGGTATGACTTTGGATAGGTTGAGACTCTGATACGAGTTTTATGTGGCTTTACATTCTCTGGCACTCAAGTAGCACCAAAGTAGCACCCATTCAAAGTTGTATAAAAGTCAATACTTCCTTACTGACAAAGAAAAAAAAAAGAAGCAAAACACATCAAAAACGTGTGTTCAAAAACATACAATCTGCATAGATGTGAACCTAACCTAAGTGAAGGAAAATGGAAAGGAATTAAGAAGAAACTAGGAGAGAAGGTGGAAAGGACAGGGGGGGGGGGGGGTCTCATGGGTCCACCAAATCCCCTTCAAATTGCTAAATAAGGAGATGGATGGGCATATGTTATCCAAGGCTGCCAAACCCAGAGGAATCAATCTTGGGAGTCCGACAAAAGAGCTGTCAGCACCTCTATAGGTTTAAAAAGAAGAGCCTCCCAGGGGTTTCTCTTGATATCCGAATGTAATAAATGTACAGTGCCTTAAAAAAGTATTCATACCCCTTGACATTTTCCACATTTCGTCATGTTAGAATCAAAAACGTAAAATGCATTTTATTGGGATTTTATGTGATAGACCGACACAAAGTGGCACATACCGTATTTTTCGCTCCACATAAGACGCAGCTAGGTTTTAGAGGCAGAAAACAGGAAAAGAAAATTCTGAACTAATGGACTGCAGACATAGTACAGGAGATGACCAGAGACTGCAGACATAGTACAGGAGAATGACCAGAGACTGCAGACACAGTACAGGAGATGACCAGAGACTGCGGACACAGTACAGGAGATGACCAGAGACTGCGGACACAGTACAGGAGATGACCAGAGACTGCAGACACAGTACAGGAGATGACCAGAGGCTGCGGACAGCACAGGGATGACCAGAGGCTGCGGACAGCACAGGGATGACCAGAGACTGCGGACAGCACAGGGATGACCAGAGACTGCGGACAGCACAGGGATGACCAGAGACTGCGGACAGCACAGGGATGACCAGAGACTGCGGACAGCACAGGGATGACCAGAGACTGCGGACAGCACAGGGATGACCAGAGACTGCGGACAGCACAGGGATGACCAGAGACTGCGGACAGCACAGGGATGACCAGAGACTGCGGACAGCACAGGGATGACCAGAGACTGCGGACAGCAGCACATTGATGACCAGAGACTGCAGACAGTACAGGAGATGACTGCTGACCTTTGGGGGGGGGGGGGGGGGGGGGGGGGCTACCTAAATTTGACAGGTACCCGCTCTTAATTCCGCGTAGTTGTTCTTTGATCTTACCTGTTCCTCTATCCAATGTACCAAAGCCGCGCGCTGTCTTCCCGGCTTCTGTAGTGTCGGCGCTCGGCATGATAGCCGGGTGCCCAGTGCGCATGAGCGAGAAGCATTGCGCTTTGTGATTGGTCCGGCGGCTTCTGGATAGAGGAACAGGTAAGATCAAAAGAACAACTTCCGCGGAAGTAAGAGCGGGTACCTGTCAAATTCAGGTACCCACTCCCCACCTCCCCAAAGGTCAGCAGTCATCTCCATAAGGTCCCGCTGCAGAGCTGAGCGGCCAGCCCGGTATTCTGACACGGCGGCAGTGGAAATACCGGACCGGCCGCTCCATATTCGCTCCATAAGACGCACTAACATTTTCCCCCCTTTTTTTTGGGGGAAAAAAGTGCGTCTTATGGAGCGAAAAATAACGGTAATTGTGAAGTAGAAGGAAAATGATAAATGGTTTACAAAATGTTTTTACAAATAAATATCTGAAAAGTGTGGTGTGCATTTGTGCTCAGTCCACTTTACTCCACCCCCTTGCCCTTTACCCCTAACTAAAATCTAGTGGGACCAATTGCCTTCAGAAGTCACTTAATTAGTAATAGAGTTCACCTGTGTGTAAACTTTAATCTCAGTATAAATACAGCTGTTCTGTGAAGCCTTCAAAAGGTTTGTTAGAGAACATTAGTGAACAAACAGCATCATGAATGCCAAGGAACACACCAGACAGGTCAGGGATAAAGTTGTGGAGAAGTTCAAAGCAGGGTTAAGTTATAAAAAAAATCCCAAGCTTTGAACATCTCGTGGAGCACTGTTCAACCCATCATCCGAAAATGCAAACAGTATGGCACAACTTCAAAACTACCAAGATATGGCTGTCCACCTAAACTGACAAGCCGGGCAAGGAGAGCATTAAGTAGAGAGGCCCATAGTAACTCTGGAGGAGCTGCAGAGATCCTCAGCTCAGGTGGGAGAATCTGTCCATAGGACAACTATTAGTTGTGCACTCCACAAATCTGGCCTTTATGGAAGAGTGGCAAGAAGAAAGCCATTGTTAAAGGAAAATTTCAAGGGGTATGAATACTTTTTCAAGGCACTGTATGTAAGAGGGCATAAACGCGGATCCATAGCTTACTCACTTTCAGACAGAACCATCAGATGAGCCATTACTGCAGGCTGGGTACACCCCGGAAACAGGTCAAGGTGTAATTGGAAACAACAAATGGGTCAGACAAATGGTGTATAATACCACTGGTATAAAATTTTTATAAGCATTCTCAAAAGTAGTGACATTCTTGAAACTTTTAGAAAGTGTTGAAGTCATGATCTGCCAGTCCTCTGAGTCAATCCCCCCCCCCCCCCCCCCCCCCATCTTCCCAACTCGCTTTCCCATTATTGTTGGAAAGATCATAGTAGGGGCTTCTTGAAAGATAGAATAAATGCGTACATCAAAGTGATCAAATCAGTGGAATGTGGACGTGCCCTACAGCAGCAGCCTTTTTCAACCAGGTGCCTAGGCACCCTGGGGTGCCTTCAGGCTTTTTCAGGGGTGCCTTGGCAATGTGCCTAAAAATTGCTCAAAAATTATATACAAGCCAGCAGATGCTGCAAACCTGCCTTTTAGTACACAAAATCACAGGTCTTCATTGTGCACTTTTATGACCTTCTAGCTGCTGGCATCTTAACACCCTGTCATCAGTTGATTTTTTTCCCCCTCCCCTGCCCCTCTCTGTCAGAGCAGGGGTCACATATTTATTTATTTCAGGTACTTATATAGCGCCGTCAATTTACGCAGCTCTTTACATGTATATTGCACATTCACATCAGTCCCTAACCCTCAAGGGGTGTACAATCTAAGGTTGGGTGAGGGAGAGAAATTGAGGGAGAAACATTAGAATTCTAGTCAGTGCTAGTGTGCAATGGTATATTTGCTTTGGAAGAATGAATCACCTCTAAAGTTGCGTGTATGTGTGTGGATGTTGCTGCATTACGTAAAACTAGTAGACACGTTTTTTACATTTTAGAATGGGGTGCTTCAACATTGTACAGAATTTTAAAGGGTGCCTCGGGACTGTCCATAATTTTAAAGGGTGCCTTGACTGAAGAAAGGTTGAGAAACAGTACCCTACAGAGACTTTCAGAGTCCGGGCATAAGGAGAGGGCTGGGACCGAATCATCCGTGAAACAAAGTGTCAAAGCTGTTCTCCTGACGGAATCTCATAGAACAATAAAGTGTGTCAAACGCCATGATCCTTGTGGGAGTGTGAAGAAAATGAATTAAATCTGTAAAGCCATGTTTGGTCCACCAGCCAAATTCCATTCCATGCCAGGAGTAAACAGAGGGCAATACAAGATGAGGAGCAGGGGCATATGGTACGAGATTAGACCTGCAGAACATTTAGGCTCCATGCAAACTAGAATTTTTTTAAGCTCCTAGAAGCTGTTATTTCTCTGCTCCTAGAAGATAAATAGTATTATCCTATGCATACTACTTTAGGCTATTAGTATTTTTTGAGCTTCAGTGTCTCTTAGCAGAAAAATAAAATAGTTTTTTGGAGTGTTTTTTCCAGCAGAAAAAAAAACCACACTAAATGCTCCTAAACGCTACTAAAACACTCCTAAAAGCTTTTTTTCTAGCTTTATTTTTCCTCTACTTGTACTGTAAATATCCTAAAAAAGCGCTAACGCTCCTAAACACTTCTGAATGCTCCTAACAAACACTTTTACCAGTGTTTTATATCCAGAATTTTTTCAGCTTAAAAAAAAAAAAAAAACCATGCTAGTGTGCATGGAGCCTTAACAGAGTCCCAGATCTGAAGCGTGTGAAGTAAAATAGAGCTCAAAGAACACCTGTGTAATTCCGCAAAGTATTTTTGCCCCCCCCGAGTAGCACGCCAAAAGTCAACAACTGCTTAAAACTAAATTCAGGTGTTAACTTAGAACTGAACCACTACAGCAACCAACTACTGACATTTACAATATGTGTTCAGAAAATGCTACAGTGGCCATAAATGACAATCTTCATGTTTTCTTTGGGCTGTAAGGGTTGCTGGCAGCATTCAGATGAGATTGCACATGAGACTTTGCAGCATATTGGAACATTGGGTTTCAGAGTCTATTTTCACTTCTGATCGTGAAAATGCAATAATTTTAATATGCAAAGTGCACTGTACAGCATTTTTTGTGCTTAAGTAAATTTTAACACATTTTCAGTATTCATTTTCTAGGGCAAAAAAAAATTGCTGTACAGTTTTATGTAATAAAATGCACATAAAATAATAGGTGTGCACTTTTGCCAGTCTGAACTCCGGTACACTATTATAAATACCAGGACTTGCTGTAAATGCACAGACCCGAGACAT